CACACACACACACACACACACACACACACACACACACACACACACACACACACACACACACACACACACACACACACACACACACACACAAGCACAAGAACGCACAGTAAACACGCACATAAACAAGCCCACGCACATCCACGTGCGGGTGCCCGCGCCACACACCTGCTGTAACTTGCCGCGATGGCCACACGCGCCAGCCAGCCCGGTGGCGGGGCCTCAAGCAAATCGCACCCGCTGCACCCAGACTGCGCATGCTGCGCTGGGAGTCGCAGGCCCGGCATGACAGCGGCCGCAGCAGGGCCGAATGCGCTGCTGCAAACAGCTGAGCGGCATCGGCTGAGGGGGGTGACATTAGTGCAGGATGGTGGTCTGGGGCGCGGTGGGCCGTCAGGGTCAGGGGTTCAGAGCACACGGACGGGTGCAGGGACGTGGGTGCGCAGGTGGCCTCAGGCGGTGACGCCCACGCGTGAACTGGCAGGTTCCTCTTGGCTGCCTACCTCACTTGCCGGCTTCACCAGGGTATTTCCATGCGGCGCGCTCACCTGAAATTGAGTGGCGCCCAAGTGTCTCATTCATCGATGGGTTGCAACTCTGGCTCGTTATTAGAAGGCGGGTGTTGAGGTGCAGAACTGTAGCAAGGTTGGCGACGATCCTGCAGCCACGTAGAATACTACGTCACAAATATTATACTGATATTGCCATCATTTTTGCTAACGGGTGAGATTTCTCTGGGTCGTGAAACGCCCGCGGAGATGTTTTTTGCACCCACCACCGCGGGTGTTGTGAGCCGGGCTGTAACATATGTTATCATGAATTTTTTTGGGTGTCTGATACGCGGCATAGTGAGCGGCAGGCGAGTCTGAGGTGCAGCGGCGTGGGCGTGGGCACGTGCGTCACCTCGATCACCAGCAATTCGCGCACCGCTGACGTGCGCTGCAACACCCCTTCCAGAAGGCGCTATTCAACCTCAGGGCTCCAGGCAGGATGAGGAGCGCACGGCTGGTGGTGGTGTTTGCCGCCGCGGCGCTCAGCCTTGCCGTGGCCGCGCCCGCGGCCGCGGCTGTGGCTGAGTTCACCCCCTCCATTGTGATGTGAGCAACGGCATTAGTCTGCAGGCCGGGGATTGCGCAAGACCAATCAAATTTATTGGTATTGGCAATGGAGGCAGTTTTTCAGGCACAATGCGCTTGACCCTCTACATGAGTCGTGCTGGCGTGTAGCCGGCTGCCCTCGCAAAAATGGCGGCTCAAGCTCCCTGCGATGCTGCTTGTCCAACCACCCCACGTGCCACACTGACCAGAACCCACTGCGGTGACGGCCTGCAGGACCAATTTTGGGGAAATGGGCCAGCCGTGCTTAAAGATGGTCGACAACGCCGCAAAGCTAAACGCCAACAGCATCAAGTTTGTGCCCACGGTGAGGCAGCAGCCGGGCCGGCCGCGCGGGTCCTGCTGGCAGGGGCCAGCCTGCAACCGCAGATAAGAAATGCTGATGCTAGGGTGTGTGAATCTTTGGATCCTGACTTTGTTGTGTTGCTTTTGCGGGCACCGCTCTGAATGCTAAGTGGGCGCCAAGCCCTCAGTGGCGGCTCCATGGACCCCACATCTGCTTGCCACGCAATACAACCAGATGTGCGCCACCCTCGACCCTTGACCTCATCCAGGTGCACTACTACGGATCTGACAGCAAGATTGACCGCTTCTGCTACAGGTGGGTGGACAACCCCGCTGCCTATCACAGGCCGGAGCCCAGTTCGTCCCTCAACTGAGGCCAGATCCACGCCCCAAGCAGCAGGGAGAGATTTGTCTCGTGCCATCCTCCCACGTCTACTGCGCCTCGAGTGTATGAAGTATGAGTCTGGTGCGCGGGCTTTAGTCCGTGAGCGCCCTCTGCAGCAGCGGCGGGACTAACCTCGTAGGCACACGCGTCCAACAGGAACGAGGATTGGGGCTGCGAAGAGGTCACGCCAGACAACATGCGCAAGTATCGCGACCTCCTCGGCAGGCGAGCGCAGCTGGGTACCTAGGCGGCAGCGGATAGGTCGGCGTCTGTGGTTGCGCATGCGCAGCACTGCGCCAGCCGGGGCACCTGAAGCCACAGGGCACCGGCCAATCCTCCAATTGATCCCTTTCTCACAAAAGGCATGACAATCGCACGTGCGCAGCTGCATCAAGTATGCGGTCGACACTTACAACGTCGATGTGGCCATCCTGGCGCACCTGGACAACATGAAGGAGTACACCTGGCGCAACCTGCTGCAGGCAAGCCCTGGCGCGCCCCCGCAACGGCAGGCGGCAGCCCTGCCCGCCCCCCTGCTGCACGTTGCCGGCCGTGCTGTCCTTTTCTGAAGGTTGCGGTCCGAGGCCTATCAGGCTGTGACCGCGCAAAGAAACGGCACGCCTGCGGCTGCCCACATGCCAACAATTTGTCAGTGGCTTCCAGTGATGCAACCTCCTGAACAAACAATCCTGTTGCACAAATCCCACATGCAATCCCTGCAGTTCAACCCACGTGCGAAGTACGGAGGTTACTCATACGCAGAGGCTGTCATCCGTCCGATGGCTGACGCCGTCAACCAAGCCGTCAAGTGGGTGCAGCACAGCGCTTTGCGACTGGGAGGGCTCCGTCGACTGGAGCCGATCGGCTGCTGGCTATCCAGCTGCTCAATTCGGCTGTCCCGCTTGCAACGCCAAAGCCCATCTCTTTCAGTCACCATGCCCAGCACAAACAAGCCGTGCTGACTCATCAACTACCCTCTATGCCTGTTCCCGGCATGGCCTCCTCTGTTTGCAGGCCCAACACCGAAGTAATATTCACTCTGAACGGCGAGACTGGGAAGTCCGTCAGCCAATTCTCCAAGGAGTGGCTCAGCCTCGTGCCGCTGGTAAGCAGTTGTTGACGGTATGCAGGTCTTGGCCTTGCGACCGATGCGGAGGTGGCGTTGTGGCTGCTGTCCGCAAGGGGATGTAAGGCGAGCGCAGGGCCCTGCGTGTGTACTGGCGCGCTGCAATCGCGGACACGAGCCAGATGGATGCACGCATAGACGCCCCATCCCAAAAATCCACCTACGGCACACATTCCCATCTCCCCCCCCCCCTTGTGGCTGCCACCTGGGCCGGCGAACCTCACCCGTCCCTGTCAGGCGCGCGGCTGGCTGACCGCGAGAGGGAAGCTGCTGCGAGCTAACGCGCTCATCGCCGTCAGCCTCAACTACAACAAGCTGTGGGTGACGTCGCGGGGCCGGTCTTGGGTCGCACTCGGCTCTGATCGACCCACACCCTGTCCTTCCCCGCCGTTTGGGGCAGGGCCCGTGCTCCTATGGGCCTCAGGTAGCACAACCCCCTGTCACACCCCTTCCCCCAAAAATATCCTCCTAGCTATGGCTGGATCGACTTCACCTCCATTAGTCCCGACTCTATCGCCAAAAGCTTTGACAAGGTGTGGAGAATGATGGAGTGGCGCGGATGGACGTCGTATGGTTTGCACCTGCAAACTGTGCATCACCCGCGGACTGCATACAAGTGGACCGGGTTAGCGCGGCAGCGTGCATGCAATGGAGTGCACGGGAGCACCTGGACTTGCGCATCCTGCCAACCCAACGGCGTTTATGTGCCATCGAGCAGCACGCAGCACGCAGGCAGCGTGATTGCGGCCTCGCCGACCAGCCTGAATGGTCAAACGACTGCACGCGCGCGCTGGCGCATGCAGGAGTGGCGGGCGCAGGCGGCCAAGTATCCTCTAGACCTGCCCAACATGAAGCGGTTGTATGACGCCGTCGATGTCATCGGGCTCAGCGGTGCGGTTGCTGGGGGCTGCAGGGTGTGTAATACACAGCCTCATAGCCCTCAGATGATACGTAAACATTTGCAAAAATGACAATCTGGCAATACGGCTGAAAAATTGGATTTTGGCAAGGCCGCATGTGTGGTGGCTGCACAAACACCATGTGGCAGGGGCGGGTGGCTTGATTATGCACACAACCAGCACACGCTGAGGCTTTCGGCCGCTGGTAGGCGCCGCAAGTGCAGCACATCCCCGACCACACACATAGACGCTCGACACATACACAGCCTGACACAGGAGGGCCACTGGCTGCTCTTGTTGCCGGCCCCAGCTGGCTCATACGCGAGCCATGGCCTCAGCTGCATCCCCCTGCCGCCACCCCCCTGCACCCGACGCAGCCTACCCTCCACTGTACCCTGGTTTCAAGTACCAAGACTTGCCCGTTGCCCTGCAGTATCATGCACAGGTGCGTGTCTACCACATGCCCCAACTAGGCATGGGGTGCAGGGAAGCGCTATTGCCAGGAGTGGGAGGTGTGGAGGAGGACGGAGAAGCGGGGGTGCATGCTTGCGGGACTCGGCCAATGGCCAGGGCAAGGGCAGCCAGCTGTCAGCCCCATGCAAAGTGGAAGACGTTCTGACATGGCGAGAGGGGTGGATCTCGCCACATGCCACACTCACATCTTGAATGAGGCTGGCAGTCGCCCAGGCCCCCGTGCATGGTTGAAGATGACAGAATGAAAAAAGCGTACCGATGCCGTCATTTTGGACAGGAATGGCGGCTTGGCGGCTTCCCGTTGTGTGCAAATGCACTGAACCAGGATCTGCGGGCGCACGTGCGGCCGTTGCAACCCCTCCCCCTCACGCACAGGAGCTGTCCTATGCCGGCATTGACCTGAAGCAGCTGCTCGACAGCGGCAAAAAGGTGCGGCGAGGTTGCAGTGCAAGGGAGAGGGTTGGCAGTGCTGACAGCATCGTGCGTGTGTGCGACGCCGATGATCCACAGTTTGCATGGCAACGGGCTATGACAGCTCACCATCAACAAGTGATAGTTTGCGAGGCATTCCTGCGTGATGCAGCTTACCGTGCCAGCTATTTCTGCCTTTGCCTACCACTGTCTCGGCCCCTATGAACTGAGCTCTGCCTCCTCCTCCACAAACTGTGCGGCCGCCCCTCAGCTGGTGATCAGCGAATGGGGCGTCGGCGGCGGCACACAGGACGGCGGGTCCATTGCCAAGAGCACGAAGGACGTTGCAGGTGCGGGCGGCACCGCGAGCGGGAGCCCCCAATCCGTGCCTGCCAAGCGCCCGCAACCACAACGCACAGCATTACAACAGCAGGACCGCGCCTGATGTGCCCTACTCACCTCTTCATCTTGAGGTGCTTACTATCAACAAAACCCTGAACCTCGCCGTCTGCACTCGCCGCGCAGGCTACCCTTTCTTTGGCCTATGGTGGGCTGCCGTGAGGGTGTCAGGACACGGCTGCACCACGCGGGTGCATGAGACCTGAAGAAACGCACTGACGCTTTCGATGCATGAGGCATCATTTGTATTCGCCAAAACCGTGCCCCTCCCAAAACTTATCACCTGCCCCTCTTGTGCAAAGCAAGGGGGATGCCCAACAGGGCCTGCAGTTACCATACATGCGTGCGCGCCTGCCCGCCCCCAAACTAGGTACCCTTATGCAGCATCCAAGGACCCGTGGAGGAATGCAGACTATAACGAGTACAGGTTTGTCACGACGAGTGATGATTGCTGTTATGTCATTGAGTGGTGCTGAGCAAACAGCAATAGGGCCGTGTCAGCAGCCTCAGGGCGACCCGCCTGTGCTGGCGGGCTGGGCTGCCCCACACGGCAGGAATGCCAGCTCCCGGCCATGATGCTGCCCTGAATCACGGCGCAAACAAAGCCCTCCGCCGCAAGTTACTTACTTTCCCACCCACAAACAATCAAACGCGCCGGGGCCGTGTCACCCCTAGGCGCTACCTGTACCGCATGACGGCCCAGTGGCTGGTCAACGGGGGCGGCCCGCAGTTCCCGCTGTACAAGCTCTACGCCTGGGGTGCAGGTGCGTGGCCATATGCGCTCACCTAAGCACCACTCACTCGTGGCATCACTCTGCCGCCCAACGCAGCAAACAGTGAGGGGGCTTGCGCTTGCCTGATGCCGCACCCTGCCCCATGGCCATACCACCCCGCACTTTGTTTCCCCACCAGCCAGTCCCCTCCTGTGTGCAAAACCCAACAACATTTCATTATCGCACTGTCCCCCCATTTTCAGGGTCCTGGGACGCAATGGGCGTGCATTTCCAGAGCGGCGACGCCAGCGGCAGCTGGGCCGACCCCGAGATCATCCAGATCGTGAAGGACCACAACGGCAAAGTTTGACCTGCTGACCGCAAGCTTCGGCAGAGCGATCCAACCTGCCAAGTTGTCAGCACACCTGCTGACATGGCGCCTCTTGATTGATCGCTGCACAGAGCCAGCAATGGGTGTATTTTGAGCTCGTTGAGGCGGCAGCGCCCGACAGCGCGGAAATGTGGTGACAGCGTGTGTGGGAGTCGCTTTGTCTACCAGCGCTGCGCGAGCCGCCGTTGCCGCGCACAATAGTTGTGATGTCGCGGCTGGCCATGACACGTGTCTGCCACCAGTGGATTCTTTCATGTGCCGAGATGCAGGTGCTTTTTCCGTGAGTTGATCCCTGTGTTGTTGGTCAGACCAATGACTGAGCTATGTATGTGTGAGATTCCTCGCGAAGCCGTTCACAAAAACCGCTGGTCCAGATGCGCTGCCGAACTCGCTACCGTACATGTTACACACACGTTCACTTGAATGAAGCTGCGCTTCACGTGGACGCGAGACTCAAGGCCCAGGTCAAGAAGCTGGCAAACGCGTGACCACAACGCACAAACTGTCCCGTTGACTCCTAGGGTGTGCTCTATGACCCACGAAAGACCAGGGACGCCCAACGGCACAGTAGCCAAAAGTCGGAACAAACAGCATCCCGAAGCAATCAGGTTTGCCCTACACTGCCGCCGCCTGCCCCTCCTGCGCGCCGGCCAGCAGCTTTGAGCTGTGGGAGCGCGCGACGGGCAGCTGCTCGAGGGAGGGATGGTCTGACGTCATCCGCCCCAGGCACAGCGCGACGAGGGCGTACCTGTGTTCAGAGTGGGACCACCGGCGCTGATTTGATGAAACTGACGCGTTTTTCCGTGTCCCATCAGGTCAAAGGATAGGCAAAACGTGTGCTGGCGGGCGACCAAGGGCGATGAAGTATGCACAAGGGCAGGGCTGGGCTTCCCGCGGCCGAGTGCGCAGGGTAGCCCCGTGCAGCAGCATGCACGCCAGGCCCGGCGGGGCGGGGTGAGTGGGTGCGCGGCTGCTCCCCTGCATACGACAATTCCCAAGACACAGAGCATAGGGCGACGGCCCCCTTGTCCCTTTTCAAGCCCTCTGCCCCCAAGACCCCCTCCTCCTGGGCCCCTTCCCCCCGCACCCCTCGCGATTCGAGTCGCCCCGTCCCACCAACTCGGCCAACCCCTCCCCCTATCTCTCCCCCGCCCCACGCACCACTCCTGGGCCGTCTTGCGGTCCTCCCAGCCCAGTATCAACTTCCTGGGCTCGTTGCTGGGGCGGTGCACCAGGTCCTGGGTTGGGGTGCGATTTGATGGGGCCCGGTCGGTTGGTGAGTGGGTTGGTGAGTGAGCGCAGGGCTGTGCTGTGTTGCGGACCGCTTGGTTGGTGAGTGGGCCGGCGCAGGGTTGTCGTTCGTTGAGGCGAAGTTGGTTGGTAAGTCGGACAGCGCAGGGTGACGGTTTGTTCCGGGCCTGTGAATGAGCTGGGGTTTGCAGCCCTGCAGGGTCATGCTTTGGTGCGGGTCCGTCGGTAGGGGAGTCTATTGGTGCAGGTTTGTTTGGTGGGGTTGCAAGCGGATTGGGGTTGAAAAGGGATGGGTGGGCGGGCTGGCGGCGGCGAAGGATGTGTTGTGACTCCGCGGGGTTGCGCGGGGGCCTGCAACCACTGGGGCTTTTGAGGCTGAGGGGCCGGCGGGCTTGGGAGGGGTTGGCGGGATCAACGGTGCGCAGGTGGGGCGATAACTCTGGGAGAAGGGCGGCGCAGGGACGAGGCGAGGGCGCACCGCCTGCGCTTCAACGCGCTCCACGAAACCCACGCGCGCCCCTCACCGACGGCAGCGGCGTGTTGGGGCTGAGCAGGCGCTCGAAGAAGTGGCCCTTCCTCTTCAGTTCGAAGTCGTAGAGGGGCAGATCCTCCCCCTCCAACTCGCCAGTAAGGGCAACGTCCACCGTGCTGTCCCCGGGGGCTTTCTGGGTGTGCACCTGCGCGGAAATTAGTGATGGTGGGACAAGGGTTGGTCGCTGAGGCTGGTGGAGACAGGAGAGGCGTTCACTGTAGTGGTAGAGGTGGGGTTCAAGGGCCAGGGCGGGGCGTGCGGAGCGGGCATGAGGGTTGGGTATGGGATAAGATGTGACTTTGGTTGCCAGTTAGCAGGACCTTGGCAGATGGGGTCCGGGAATAGGGGGTCCCGGGGCCGCAGGGTGGGGGGGGGCGCGGGTGTGTGCTGCGCGTGCAAGTGCGAGGGCGGCTTGGGCAGCCGGGGCGGCTGATCGGAGGCCGTCCAGCCGCAGCTGGCGTTAATGCGCAGCGCGGGCGCCGCTCGGCGCCCCACTGCCCCGCCGTGCGCACGCACGTGTGCATGCCCCTCCATGCTTGCTGCAGAGCGCCCGCCCCAGGGTGCTGACACACGAGGGCCGCAGCGAAGCCGCCAGCCAGCCCGACCTGGGTGGTGGGGGCCAAACGGCCCACAGGCACTCACCCTGGGCCCGACTTTCTCCACATCCCCCGGCAGCAGCTCCCACTCCTCATCCAACTGCAGGGCCTGCGCCTCCGCCCCGCCGGGCGGCACCACCTGCGGCCGCGCGAGGCGGCGTGGGCCATGCTCGGAGCTTGCGATGGAGGCGCTAGGCGCGCGGGGAGCAAGGGACAGGCGCGGGCGCAGCGATGGGCCGAGCAGGGGGAGCGGCGGCGGCGGCGGCGGCGGTGTGCGAGAGCTTGGTGCTTTGGGATTGCAACGTTGTTTTTCAGAGGGACCCAGGAGTCGCAATCGAGGCCGGGGCTCGATCAAACTGCCGGCCGCGCACGTGCAGCTGGAAGTTGGCCTTGCCCGGCAGCTGCACCAGCCTCACTGCCTGCACCTCGACCCTGCTCACGTGCGCGCGCGCGCGGCGGAGCGGGGGCGAACGCGCGTCAGTGTGGGCGCTCTGAGCAGTGGCGCCACAGGGAGAGGCAAGAGCACGCAGGACGCGAGAGCGCGGCGGGGGAGAGCGCCCGCAGCGGGCCTGGCTCATTGCACCAGTGATCGGAGCATCGAACGCGTCCATATGTGCGGGACATTTCCCTCATAGCCCACGCACAGGCTCGCGGTGTGGGAGAGAGCTCCGAGCAGACCCTTGTCCTGATCGATTGAACGGAACGCCTGGGCTTCAGCTATCACACGTCCTTCCATTGCTCTACTAAAGCGCTCTCCGCGGGCTTCTCCTTGACTGTTGGACGCAACGCTGACCGTTGGGGGCGAAATGAACAAGGTATGTGCTACAAATCAATGCTGTTTGTACCCCTGTCACTGATTTTGTCGCGCAAGGCGAGGGCTGGTGCATGAGCCGCCGACATCGCGGTTGAAATCGGCACTGGGTGACACCATCGCGCCGACGTTGCATCTGCCGTGCGCTTATAAACACACGTGAGCGGTTCTGCCCTCGAACGTGAGTCCTGATGAATCAGAAGCGCACACGGCAAGCTGGAAGCAGATCCTTCACCCCCCTCGCCCACACGTGCAGCGTCGGATGAGCTTGCCCCCCCCCCCTTGTGCAATTTGCTTTTCTCGCTGCCCCCGCCTTGTCCTGCTGTCTAGCAAGCCCAAAGCCCCCCATTCCTCGTCAACAGGATGGCCCGTCCAAAGCCGCAAGCGTTATGTTACAGCAACCTGATGTGGTGCCTCAGTGCAGTTTAAGGGAGGGATGAGACGGCATGCGGCCCCCGCACAACGGCAGGGGAGGTGGTGCGCTGGGGGCGCATCATTTAGGCCGCCTCCCTTTTAGGGTCGCCTGATTGGCGTTGCAGCAAGAGCCCCGTGGCATGTGTCAAAGCTCGAAAAGCAGTGCAGGCGAAGCGTGCACACTACACAAAGAGAGGGCTGGGGCCGGCAAGGGGCAAAAGCCAGGGTCGGGGCGCACGCGTGCAAGGGCCAAAAGGCGGCGGGGCGGCCAGGCCATGGTATGGTGGTTGCTGCGGGGTGACCGCGAGCAACCCACCAGCCCAATCGCGAGCCGCCCCTCGATGCGCCCGCCCGAGCGCCCGTCGGTCAAAGAAGTCAAAACGCGAGCCGTAACCACAGCGGCGTCGTGCGCGTTGGCGAAGAGCAGTGCCCAATATGACGAAATAACAAAGGAAGCCGGCGCCGCCCTTCGTTATTGACAGACTGCTTGCATGCGCCCAGGTCGCACCGGGGGCGCGGCAACGGGCCACCGGGGCTTCTTTTCCCTCTCCCCACATGCCTGCCGGCAGAGACTAGCTGGGGCCCATGGATGCGGGCCCCGCCAAAGCTCGCAAAGCGGCAGCGCGCGGCAACAGCGACAAAACCCGACCCCTGGACAGAAGCACGTACCCCAGGGGCTGGAAGTGAGCGGGCAAATATAGGTATGCAGAAGCGGGTGTGCAGCGCGCCGCCCATTTGCTTGCGCGTGCGAGCCGCACAAAACTCGCAGGGATGGTCACTCTCGGCGCGGGGTGCGCGGGCAGAGCTGCCGGCGGATCCGAACCCTAGACACCGCTGCCCTGGGGCACGGCCATGGGCGCTGCCTCTGGCGCTGCGTGGCCGGATCGTGGCGCTCGGCGGCCGCGAGGGCGAGGGGGGCGCCTCGACAAGTCAGCAGGGACCCCCCGCGAGCAGGGGGTCCGCGGCGGCGGCGGCGGGACGGCGGTTTCCCGCTATGTCGTCGGTGGGGCGCGGCCTCGCCGCGCGCGCGTCAGCGCGGGGCCTGAGCCAAAGGTGGCTCGGGTGTGCGGGGCGGGGGCGGCCCCGGGTGCGCCGCACTTGGGGCGGCGCGATTTCTTGACCGGCCCGGGGGCAGGGGCGGCCGCCGGGGCAGGCTTACCATTGGGTGCGGGGGCGGCGCGGTCCCTTGGGGATGCAGCAGGTGGGCGCGGGGCACAAGGGCGTCGCGGCCCTCGGCCGTCGCGGCCCTCGGCCGTCGCGCATCCATTGGTGGGGGCCAGGCGCCTGCGGCGGGACTGCCGCGCGGCGCGGCGCATGGCGGGGCCCACCTTTGGCGGGCCGCAGCCAAGCGCACGGCGGCCCCCAGCCGCAAAAA